AGATTGAATTTTCTGTTTATCTTTGAAAATCGTAAATAAATATAATTATTTTACTTCAATGACTGAATTTTTAAAAAAAACGGGATATTTATTTAAAAAAACGAAACTTTTAGAGAATCGGAGTTTTTGATAAAAAGGCTGAAATTCGAGAGACAAAAAAAATCTCATCCCTGTATAAAGGTCAACCAGTTTTATCCCAAGGAAATGATTTTTAAAGAAACTTCAGAGGGAGGAAAAGGGACTTCAACAATTTCCCTCCGCGGAAAATTAAATTCCTCATAAAACATTTTAACTTGGGCAAAAAAAATTTCAGCGGAAATTAGCGGGAAAAATGGAAAAATCTGAAAAAAAGCGGAAATCCGCGAATCCGCGGAAGAATCTCATCCCTGAAATGAGCTGGCAGAAACGAATATATGAGAAATATTAACAAATTTTAATAAAATCAAAACATTTAGCAACCGTGTAATTATATTCAAATTCTATGCTCATGAAGAGGGAACCTCTAAAAATAGATTTTATTCTGAACTCTAGTCAAGATTATTGAATAAAATGATAAACGATTCCATTTATGATTCTTATTTATTAAGAAAAGGATTAAATAAATGTTAGTTTTTAATAAATTTAGCTCTTAATTAATCAGAAATTTGTTATGTATATCTTTGCATGGCATTGCCATATAATCTCATTAACAATTCTTTAGAAACCAAATATATTTTTTTTTAAAAAAGACAAGTTTGTAGTTTAAATTACAAGGAAACCAAATGAAAGGATTATATTCAAGTTTTATCCTAATAGAATAAGACACTCGATCTAACATAATACAATGAAAATTTTAGAATCTTTTAATCAAATAATTTTAAATTTTTACATAGCAATCAGTATATCATTCAAAACAAAAATTATTGCACGAGAGTTGGTAAAAGGAGCACACAAAGGGTGAAGCTCTCTGGTAGTAAATAAAAGGAAATAGATCTGAAACACCCATAATATAATCAATAGATGTTTATGGTCTAATTAATTTCATTTACTGCTAGAGGAATCAAATATAATTACTACCAGAGGGCTCCATAACATTTATTATATAAGCAATAAGAATCTCTTTATAGGATGCAGGAGTGGATAAGAGGTGGAATATTCTGCTCAACAAAATTCAAGTTCTTCGGATTCGCTAGCTTTTTATTTTTACTGGACATGACTATTTACAAAAACATATCTATGTCTAATTGAAGTCAAAGATTTAAATTGTTGCCCTCGATGCCACTAGACTGATATGGATGGTGTCCCATTATTTTTTAGATTTTTAATGACAACTCTAAAGATGGTAGCTTTTATTCTGATTTGTATGCTTCTTCATCACTTCACTGGGCTACTCATAAGACTAATGGCAGAAATGCCACAAGCGAGCATAGGATTAAAATAATAATAATACAAGTAATGAAAAAAACTAACCATTGGATCATCAGGGACAGCATAAATATCTTCTTCTTCCTTCTCCATTGCAACATCACTATCTTTGGATTCTTTCCTTTTTTCTAAAGCTTCTTCCTCTAATTGTTCATTGTAAGCCTTTTCTAAAGGTATTAAGATTCCGTCATCATTATCACGATAGCCATAGTAATCAGCATCGATATTCTTCATCATTTCTGTTCTGGTTCGTCTTTGTTGAGCTGGTGCTAAATATAATTTATTTAAGGTAATAATTAATTATTGAAAACAACAAATAACAATACAATCAGCTTTATATACATTTTTATTACATGATACTCAAATCAAGTTATAAGAATGTCAGCAAAACAGCTATTTTGAGACCAATCATTACACAGTTAGTCTATTTTTAATAACAGACTATCTGTAATTTAGTTAAAATGTGGGGAAAAATAAAGGCGTCTAAAATATTTTTGTTTCGAGACAATAAAAAAAACAATATATTTTAAACAGTGCAAATTAATAAATTGAAGTAGCATTCTTGTTAATGAAAAATTTAAAATTTATTTATAAAAGTCATGAATTCAGTTCTTAAGTTCTGCAGAAGCATTTATTATAAACTTTTTTCATATAAATTAAAGTTAACTTCATTTGTTTTTAAAACGATTTGAGGGAAAAGAGTTACATTTCAATATACCAATAAATAATAACTAATATAAGTGTAAATATAAACTAATTTACTAAACAAAAACAAACATGACTTTACTAGCATATTTTTAAAAAATATTTTCTTTTATAAAAAATTAGACTTAAATTGTAGAGAAACTTAAATCATAGTTACAAATATCATGCTAAAGCATGCCACTTACACATATTAAATATCAGTATGAAACAATGCAGTATGATATTTTAAAAACACTGAATTTCTACTATTTTTATAATATTTACATTATGTAAAACATTTTCATTGTAAATAAAATGTTTAATAAAATTATGATGTGGATAATTAATTCATTTATAGCAATAAATTAGGGTTTTCACTTGTCATGGGCTTAGTAGCTATAATGTACTTCTGTAACTTTATTATATAGTTTCTGAACATGTATATAAATGCATCATTAAATCATGATCTCTACTTAAAACAAGTATGCTAGACTTATGTATGATCAAGTAGAAGAAACATGAAAAATACTTACGTTCTTGTTCAAATAATTCTCTGACGCCAGGTAAATCTTTGGAAGATCCAAAATACCTAAATAAAATAAATAAATGAATTGTAAGATATTAAAAGTACGAAGAACTACACCAGCAAACAAGTTAAAATAGCACTGAAGTGTTTTGGCAAAAATATGGCTGGTTGACTTTGTAAGTATGAAAGATAATTGTCTAGCAATTTTGACCTTCAAAAAGGACATATCTTTGAGAAAGAACAATAATAATGAGTTGAAAAATGGAGTTAAAATGAACAAATCATTATTTATTATGGAATTAAGTGGTGAGGTTTAATATGACCATCTAAATATGACTAAACCATTATGAACTAATTTGAAAGTTTTAGAAGCAATTTTTTTGCAAAAAATTAAACAAGAGTTAGAGAATTTCTACGTATTTTTTTAATATAATTACAGCAAAAAAATAAATAAATAAATAAACTTTTTTTACAAAATACTGAATTTTTTTTTTTTACGTTTCACTGAAAATTTCTTTCAGGTTATTTCAAGTTTTGGTCATAATTATTAAATAATATTGTACTGTACACTGTACAAAAATTTAATATTTACTAAAAAAAAAAAAAAAAAANAAAAAAAAAAAAAAAAAAAAAAATACTTTATGACTTTGAGTTTAGAGCTGAAATTTTATATTATTAACTAAATGATATTTTTTCAACAAACTTAATACAATTAAAACAAACTTTTCATGCAGCAAATTTATTAATTGAAAATAAAACTGAATTTACGAAAATTAATTTAAACAAAGTTATAGAAGAGATTGAAAAGGTAGAAGTTAAAAATATACATATAATTATTTACATACTTGTAGCCTTTATTTCCAGGAACTTCTTTGCCTTCATGATCAAGCATTTTAGGTCCAAGTTTCTATTAAAAAAAACAAAGATTAAAATTTAATTAGCAAGTAAAAATACATTATATCAAAACTTTTGAATATTTTGTAATCCACTTACTGAAATTCATTTTACTATGTTTAATATGTTCAGTATATTTAATAGATACTTCACTGTGTTTTCACTATGTGCTTAGAACAAAATTTACCCAAATATTCTTATTACTATTGACTTATCAAAACTTTTTTTTAGTCACATCTTTTTAAAAACACCAATTTATCTTAATCTTTGTCTTTTTTCTGTCTCTATTTTCATAAACATACAAATTTTTAATTAATCTAATTTCATTATGAAATACTATGTTTCCTGCCAAAATATTGAACTGGAAACTATTCGACTAAAATTTAAAAAATAGCTTAAAATTGTGGCACTTAAACAAACAATTTTGCAAAAAAAAAATTTAACGACAAAAAAAAATACATTTCTAAAATTTTGTTTTTTTTATTGTAATTGGCGATGGTTAAATTCAAAAAATTTTTAATTAAAATTAAAAATATAAATTAAAATCAATAAAATTAAAATATTAAAAAGGACATTAAATAATGCATTTTCATACATGTTAATGAAGAAATACAAAGAAGGACAGTGTTATTAAGCATGCAGTAAAAATCATTACATAGAAGTTGGATGAGAACACTTAATCTCATTTTTTAAAGGCATATGTCATCATTTTTTAACTTATATATCACAATAGTTTTAAGTTACTTATTTCCTACTTGCCCCTCTTTTTAACACAAACTTAACATCTTACAAAAGAAAATAAATAAAAGAAAATAAGCTCATAATTGTCAATGCACTTATTTTTCAAATTTGTAGAAGCAACTTTAAAATATATAGTAACAGGAAACAGTTTACAGTACATATTCTCAAATCAAACCTACCCTAATAACTTACAGAAAAATTTTTACTTTTCAATAATTTTTTTCAAGTTCTTATTTAACATATTCTTGCATTTATAAATACTTCTACAAAGAAAACATTTAAATATTTTTTCTTATTATACTTTACTTTTTTTATAACATAAACATTTGATATGCTTATGTACATCAAAAAAAATGGTTTCAACAACAAACAATTTCTACCTAAAATAGAACTTAAGATTTCAAATAAAAACATGCTTATACAGAAGATCATGTAACATTAATTTTAAATCTACAACTAAATTTCCTTAATTTTGTTTCAGTGAATAACATAAAGAAACCTTTATTTGAAAATAAAATCGAATCAGTTATGAACACTTTTGTTTGACTAAGGTTACTTTTAACCAGTTTTGAAAAATTACTACCAATTCTGATAAATATCCAAGTTAAAATTAATATTAGGTGATTGAAATTAAAATCCTACAGGCATATATATAAAAAATATTCAGAGCCAAAATAGAAAATTGCTTACTTATAGAGATTTAATTTATATTTTAGTGAAATTCACAATTTTATAAAATTTCATATTTTAATTATTTTAAAGAAAGAGACAGAGATTCCCAGTAAACATCACTACTAATCATCACTACTTTATCAGATGATGATCTGCAGATTATGATATCATTTAAAAGCAAGATGAACAATTATAAAAAGAAAACTTACTGAATAATCTTTCCCTCCTAATTCAATTATACGAGCTTCCCAATGCCCTTTTTCTCTCAAAAGCTTATTAATTTCATCATTAATTTCACGAATTCGAAATTCTCCAAGTCCAGCTAGAAATAATACATTGATTATAGATTAAAAATTAACAAAAAAATTCAAGAAATTAACATGATACATCACAATTACACACTATATCAAACAAAAGTTTGTGAAAATTATACTACCAGAGAAACACATGAATTGGTTTTTAATATAAAGAGAAAAATGACCAAGATATTACACGAAATTAAAATGTTTTTCTCTATAATCAAAAACAATAAAAAATATATCGCAAAAGAAACACAGATTTCTGAACCCCATTTGAAGGAAATGTCACCATGTTTCAATTATCATTAGCAAAAAATTCTGATAGAACGACTTGCAAAATTATAACTCAAATTCCTCTTTAATAAAATAGTGTTCTTCAGCCACAATGATGGCCTAATAATATGGTATGTTTTTTTTTTCTAAAAATCTTAATAAAGATGGGTGAAATAAACAACAAATTATTATAACTAATAGAGAAGTATTAGTAATGTATTATTGCAAAAGAGTGAAATTACTTTGTAAACATTGTATATTAGCAACTATTATTTCTAGTATTAATTGTTATAAATTAATAAATTCTTTTTAATTTTTTTTTAAATTTCATACTTTTTAAAGTATATATGACCAGATTAATTTTTTGATTCTAATTCATTACAATAATTCAAACTTGATTTTATCAAACATTGAAAAAACAGAATGTTTTGCAGATATAAGAGTTTTAAATTAACTATTTTTCACAAGTAAAATTTATAATTTTTACTCCGTTTAAATAAGGTTACTTATTACTAGGGTTTAGAAAATATATGAAAATATAAGCATTAATAAAATATTTGCTAAACAGTGCAAATTATGACCAAAAATTTATTAGAATTTTAAAATTTTATACTATATTTTCAATAGAGAAAATTTTTTACACATTCTTCAATGTCGACATAAAATATTATGCCATATTAAAAATTAAAATTTGGTGACAGTTAGTGGGATTTTCTAGTAAGTAGTAAATCTATCACATTCATTCATTAAAAAGAACAAGAATTAAATCATTTGATTTGTAAAATTTACTAATGATGCATTCACTGAAGCACTGCACTGAATATTAAAAAAAAAAAAAAAAAATTTAAATTTAAAAAAAATTTTAAAAATTATAAATAAAAATAAATTTTAAAAAAAATATTATAAATTACAAATCAAAAAACTTACATTTACAAGAAAAAATGACTAGCTTTATTTATAAAAATCACATTATTATTTTTTTTTTCTTTTCTTTTCTTCCTAAATTAAAAATAAACATTTTTCCCAAAACTTGATTCTCTTAAAAATTTACTCATATATCAGCGACCATTTTTTTAACTTTTTAATAGAGAAATGCTTATGTTTGTTACAATATTACTAACATAATTCTAACTTAATTATAGCTACTAACACATAGCATAAATTATTTTGATTACATACATCAAAACCTTAGAAAAATTATAAATTTAAAGAAACAAGCTTTAGACAAACTACAATTTGTGAAAAACAGTGGTATGTGATATGAGAAAAAACTATGCCCAAAGTACAAAAAAATTTAGATCATTTATTTTTTTTATGGAATATTTCCTATTGACTCAATATTAACATTTATTTTACAGTATTTGGGAATTGAATTTTAGCAGTTGTTAAACTTAATTCATTAACTTGATTTCATGAAAAAACTAATCTTACTGGGTATCATATTCTTATCAGTTTAAACAACGATATGCAGTTGAATGTAAGGAAAATTTAAAGGATTTTATCCAGTTTTTTTATTATGATTAGTTGCTCCTTTATTATTTGTCACCTTAACAACATATTACACACAGAAACTAATTTTATCCATTTCATGCAGGGCCTGATTACCGAAAAGGCACAGGAAGCAAGTGCTTCCCCTGTAAAATTCTAGGGGGCCCCCCAAATGACTGAAATTAAGGGCCCAATTTCTTATTTTTTGTAAAAGCAAAAAATAATAATTAAAGAAGTAAGAAAAAAATTGGCGTTAAAAAAGAGACTAATCTTGCAAAGAACCTTTCGTATAACAAGAAATTTTATAATTTAATTTAGTTAAATATTTAAATTTTTTTAACATATGTGCTAGCTACTCCCTCATGTTTTTGTTACTATAAAGCACGTAAAGAAGGGTCTAACATGATTGCATAAGATCTCTGTATTCCTTTCTAAGGTTCTTATAGTTTTCACATGGTTCTTGTCTCTTTAAAATGTATTGTTCATGGGCGAAAAATATAAAAAGTTTCTTTTGATCAAGTTATGGGAGGCCCCAAAATCCAATTATGCTTCCTCTATTTTCAGGGGTTAATCGGGCCCTGATTTCATGCCTTAATTTCATGTCCTAGAATACCAAAGCTACAACTATGCAATATCCATAATACCAGGCACTTATTCAGACTAATTAAAGTTATACCCTCTTTTACTAAACTAATTAATGATACACATTTGTATTTAAATATTCTTTAAAAAACTGATTACAGAAGCAGTGTAAAAACTATTAACTAAATGAATAATTCTTACCATTCTGAATTTGAGCTACTTTTTTAGAGATTTCCCCAATAATTTGTCTTCTCCATTTCTCAGCTGATTTCAAATCATCACAGTCACAAGCTAAAAAGGGTCTTCTCTCTTGTTGTCCTTTGCCTTGTTCAGCTAACTGAGCAGCTCGAAAACGAGCTAAAGTTGTCCTAGATGAAATTTTCAAAAAAAATTAATTAATTTTTTTTAATTAAAAATAAAAAACTGTTTGGTCAACTACACCTTTCATCTAAACATTGGTATTACATAATGTATTATTGTAATTATCTAAAACAGTGGTAGAAATTCTGATCTCCATCATGCATTGTGAGTGATTGTAGTTTTTATGGTAGACAATATAAAGTCTGTCTAAAGCAGCTATATTAATGAAGACATATCAAGCTAATTTTCCTGTGTATTCTAAACATACAGTGGTGGCCAAAAGTGTGGACATTTTTTTTAAGTTTCATGTTTTTCAACTTTGTGTGTTTGTAGAATATATTAATTTTCACTTAAATACAAACGTTTATATATCAAATTGAAGGTAATTTAATGTACAGTTTAATAACAAAACAGAATTAAAATATCTGCATTACAAAAAAATTTATGCTCATTTTAGTAGAACAAACACAAATTGTTTTGAATAAGGACGTGTTTTGTAATAAAAACGTACTAGCCAATCACAAACACTGTTCTTAGGACCAATCAAATATCTGTAACTATAGTTTAGGTTATTTGGATGGTAAGAGAGTTATTGTTGTGGAAATATTTTGCGGAATGATGCATATTAGTACAATTAAATAGAGTATTGCTGTTTTTGAATATTTAAAGTCCTTTTTTTTTTAATTAAACTAATTTTAAACAATGTTATCAACAAGAAGTAATTGGACACTTACAAAAAGAAGCCAAATTGTCATATTGAGAGAAAATGGCCTCTCTAATGCTGAAATTGCAAGACAAGTTGGTTGTTCAGTGACTTGTTCTAGTGTACAAAAGTTCTGTTTACGTTATGAAAAAATGAAATCAGTGGAAAATAAAGCCAAATCAGGCTGAAAAAAATGCACAAGTGCTACTGCCGATAGAAAAATTAAACGGCTATGCCTTCAAGATAGAAAAATTTCATCAGATGTGAAATGAATGCAGCGGGTATTGCAGTAAGTTCAGTTCAAGAACAATAAGAAGAAGATTATCAGGATTTAAACTACAAGCTAGAATTCCAAGGAAAAAACCGTATTTAAATCAAAAGTTACGCGAAAAACGAGTTAAGTGGGCAAAAGAACACATTAAATGGTCAGAAAATCAATGGAAGCAAGTAATCTGGAGCGATGAGAGTAAAATATCGCTCTTTGGTAGTGATGGTAGAAAATACATGAGACGTAGAATAGGTGAAGCACTTCATCCTGATTGCATTGAAGCTACTACAAAAAACCCAACAAATGTCATGATTTGGGCATGTACATCTGCAGATGGTGTGAGCCGAATTCAAGTGATTGATGGCATCCTGAATGCTGAAAAGTACATCGAAACTGCAGGAAACAGCCCTGATCTCAATCCCATTGAAAATTTGTGGCGACGTTGGAAAATTCTTGTACGAAAAAAACGTCCATCCAATAAAAGACAACTTATTGAAGCTATAATTTATTCTTGGCACCATGTGATTACGAAAGATGAACTCCAAACACTTGTTCACTTGATGAAAAGACGCTGTGAAGCTGTCTTAAAAAATAAGGGTTATCCTACTAAGTATTGATTGTGTAAGTGTCATTTTAAAAAAATGCAAATCTAAGATAGATCTTACTATTAGTTGCATAACTTTTATTTGTAATACAGATATTGAAATACTGTATTTATTATTAAATTCTACATTAAATTACCTTCAATTTGATATACAAACGTTTGCATTTAAGTGAAAATTAATATATTCTACAAGCACACAAAGTTGAAAAACATGAAACTTTAAAAAAATGCCCACACTTTTGGCCACCACGGTATAACGCACAACATTGATGTATAACATAAAAATATAAGTATTACAGGAACAAAAAATATAACTGCATACTTTTATTTAACCTTAATTTAAAGTTACTTCACAGTTATACTAAATCAATAAGAAACATATGAGCAGTAAAAAGTATATACTGTAATATTATTTTAATTTTATAAAAAAAAGTCCTTTTATAGTAAAAAGAATGAAAATTAAAAGCATTAACTAGAACTTCTAAGAGATATCTATTTAAATATTTTTTTCCAATAATTAATACCTATCCAAGGTGTTGCATGCAGCCCACAAATAGCTGGCATGCTGCTCCCTTCCTTGCATCCAAAAATTTAATTTCAAAAACACATATAAACTAGTGTAAGAAATTTTATAACTGTTCTTAAAAGTAATCTTAATGAACTTTGATAAAATATTGAAATTATTACATTAAACTTCTAAAAACATAGAGATAATTCAAATTGATAAAAGCCTGCCATAAATACTTTATTTTTCTAACGGAGACAATGTGTGTAAGCTTTCAAATTATTTTTTTTTAATTCAAAAATATTATACATATTGTCTAAATATTATATATATTGTCTTTTAATTCAAAAATATTATACATATTTGAAGACATAGTTGCTACACTATGTCTTCAAATTTTTAGTACAACTCAATATTGTTTTTGTTAGACTAGGAAATAATGACAATTATAATCAATAAAAATAAATATATTTATTGAGGTTCTTTTAAGCTACATTTTTTCTTGAAATAGATTCTGCACCTTTAGCACATAGCTCTCTTTTTTCTGCAGATGTTAGAAAAAAGCAATTAAAATTTATGGAATTCAATCCAATCATTGACTTTCTTATTTCTCTGCAACTTGCAACCCATGCGACAAAAAATCATGAAAAATTCAAAATCACAATTTTGTTAATCACAAAACAAACATGAACACAACAATAAAAAGATATTTAATAAATTGAAAATTATGATAATAAATTGAAAAATGAATAACAATACTATAAATTACATAAATGTTCCATAAGATAATTTTTAATAATCTTTAAATGAAACTATATGATATAATACATCATACTTTTAATAAATATTATTTCATAAAAAAAATTTTAAAGCAATAAATTTTTCCATTTTATTATATAAAGAAGTAAACATAATAACTGGGAATGACTACTATAATTTCAAATTAAAATCAATTGTTCATTTTTAAAAGACCTTAATAGCAAGAAAGTTAACTATATAAATAAACTAATACAAAATACTAAGTACTTACATGGCTTTCTCAGCATTACGAGCCTGCAATATTAAATAAAAAAATTTTTAATAATGAATACGAAGATATATATATATATATAGAATATATAAAATAAACAGTAAGAACAAAGCACATCAAAAGAAGTGCATAATAATAAGAACAAACTAAACATTATTAATGAATTTGCAAACTATAATAATTTGTTGAAGGAGAAAAATTTTTAATTGCAATATATTAGTATGGTTATAAAAGTGATAAAATGTTATAATATTTACAACATTATTTCTTATTGTAATAAAAATAAATAAACATTCTTTCTTGAGTATATAATTTTTGTACTAATGCAAATTGTCTAAGAAATCCCTTTGATAAATCCAAACTTTTGGTATTATGGTGATTCTTCTTTATAGGAGCTTTCATTGAGAATTAACAGCAAATTTGACAAGTTCGGCTTTTTAACCTGAGTATCAAAGCAGCAGCAACAGATTTTCGTGAATTACTTTCATTAAATAAAGACTATTTTCAAAACAAAATTAATATTTATTTTGATTTTCTAATTTATGATAATAAACATATTCTTATAATTATATTGCTACTGGATTATTGTAAACTCTATTATGTGTTAAAGCAAAAAATTTAAATTTATAATTATGTATTTTAATAAATAAACATAACTAATTAATAAAAATGCATGAAATTAATGTAATTTAAACATTAAATATTAATTTGTCACCATTTTTTTTTTATTCATTTAGAAATTAGAATGGCAAGTCATGATTTATGGTAATATTTTGTGCAAGATTTGGTGCTTTTATGTTCTTCTATAATAAAATGTATCCAAATAATTCTTCCTTATATGCAAATTTAGCATTACTATGATGTATTTGCTGCAATTGTTACAGCAATAACAAAACAAATAGGTTAAGAAATTAAAATTATCCTTCAATTTTATTTTTAAAATTCCATACTTAAGCTGATAATTACAGAAAACATGTTACATGACAAAGCATTTTTAGTTCAGATCAAATAAATAAAAAATACATGATAATAAAAGTGGCAGATAATCTTTATTCACTAAGAATACTGAACACTGCAGTGTAAATGATAAAACAACGAAAGTACTTCATGAAAGGTTGGCATTTAACATTGTTTTTTTAATTGAATTGGCAGAATATTAATTTAATGTCAATGTAATTGAGCAACTGTATTTGAAGGAGAATTGCACACTAAAATTTTACATGTCATCAATAAAACTCATTAAAATAATTAATATTTTATATATACATATAGCTCAGAGAACAATTTTATGACTAGTACTAAAACCTTAAAATTAAATTATAATTTTTATTTGTTTGATTTCTGAACAATCAAATACATTTTCTGTTAATTTTTTTAAATGTTTTGTTAAATCCTTTAAAAAATTGTCATGCGCAGTACAACAATATTGATAAGCATACTAAACGTTCTGCATTTTTTCTCTTATAAAAAAATACATTAGACTTCCTATAGAAAGTGCACTTCAGAAATTAAAAATTACCTCAAGAAAAAACTTATTTATATACTACAAGCAAAACATTATTTTTATCAAGTAAATTTTAGCCTCTGGTCATTAAAAAAAATAAGAACTACATCGTTTCCAATTACTATATTTTTTCAAGAATCTCTCAACATTGTTGCTATCCAGTTTTCAAAAATGAGCATAAACATGTGGAATTTTTAATGGCTTAAACTAGATTAAAATGCATGCAACTAAATTAAATCATACATATATCATATCAGGAATATTTCCAAAATCTTGATCTGCTGCTGCTTTAAATACAATCGCCAAGGATATGGATTTTAAAAAAGCAAGTTTCTTAAAGAAACCTTTTTAGGGTGGCTCAAGAGTGACAACGAGTTATATTCTTCAAGTTGGCCCCTTTCTGAGTTTTTTTTTTTTCTAGTTTTCCGCAGGCTGCTGCACGGAAATTCCAAGACTTAGTGATTTTTCAGCCGCAGATCACAATATGGAAATCTTCACATCACATCTGTTTAAAATTCAGCACACTACCAGATACAAACATAGCACGCATACAAGGAAATAAATTATAAAGCAATGAATTATGACATGGAGCAAATATGTCCCTTAGAAAGAAAAATAGGGAATAACTTTATCCTTATAAGCATTAATATTCTCAAATATGAATTTCTGATAAGAATAACTTTTTTACCGGCAAACAAAAAAAAATTTATGGCATTATAATGGTGGTTCCCAAATTTTAAATTATGTGCTAGGAATTCGTTACAAGAGTACTATTTAGGAATACAAATAAAGTTTTTAAATGTTATCGGCGAATAAACATTAGATTTTGACATGCCAAGCTTCTTAAGAAAATCACAACTTTGAACAATTTTTGGAAATCGGTAAGGTAACCACAGCGAAAAAACTAACTATGATGGATAATAGCAATGTATTAATTGGCGTTACATGATTTCGAGAATAAGAACATGAAATAAACATAAAGGAGAATAGCTTACCATTTTAGTTATTTATAAATGGAGGGGATATTGAAAAAAAATATTTATATAGATCCTTGAAGTTAAATCTTCATAAAAACTACAGAAAGTTTAAAAAATTACTTAGCATGTTCATAAACAACTGTTTGCATTAGATGTTACATATATTTTCTTTGTACTCGAACATCAGCTTTAGCCTTTTGCTCCATTTACAAACCCAAGTTGATTTAACTGCCATCTTACGGGAATTTATAAAAGCTTTAAAAATGGTCATAAATTCAAACAAGATTATAATCAAATTTCATAAAACTAATTATTATCAGTGGTCGAAAGTATCACCCTACAAAGAGTTAAACAACTGTAGTTGCTACTTTTTTAGTAGTTTATAGTGTAGTGAGCTACTTTTTTTAAAAAAAAAAAGTAATGTAGTGTGATACAAAAGAAAACAATAGTTTGTAGCGATTCCTGGTACGTTAACGTTAGTGTAGTCCTTTTAACGTTAGTTTAGTAAAGAAACATGACTCTAACGCCTTCTAATTACACAAATTTGAAGGGTACAAATCTTTACGAGTCCGTCAATGGATGAAATGAAAACTACTCTGTAGCTGCACCTGAAAGTTAACAGTAATTACGTATTTAGAATGCTGTATAACTGATATTTAAACTTGCGATTACATAAACTAATTACATAAACTTACACGCTTTCACATACGACGCATTTTTGATGTACTTAATCTCTAGTAGAAAGTTTAAAGTTAATTGGACGCATTCGAAAAAAAAATGTTTTGGAATAACAAACTAGCTCATGTAAGCATAAATAAATAGTTCATCATTATACTCTTATATCAAATGTAAACCAATTTCTTATTCAAAACCTTTTTGAATATAAATGCAAGTTAAATTTTCCAACAAACTTTGTCTCCTTAAAGTAGTGAAGAAGTAGTTACTAAATTTAAAAGTAGTTTGCAGTCATTACATTTAAAAAAAATAGTTCTACTTGCAGTAAACTATATTTGTAGCACAGTAGTCTCAGTTGTAGATTACGTTCTTTGTGAAATATATTTTAAAAGCATTTTTAAGACATCTTTTTTGCATTTGGCAGTTTTAATTAACAGTCAGGGCCGGATTTACGTATAAGTTAAATAAGCTGTAGCTTGGGGCCCCGAGATGACAAGGGCCCCCAGATCCTACTTTCCCCCCTCTTTTTTTAAAGTTTTAATCGGAGCTGGGGCTCTCAGAACCCCAAAATGCATTTTTTTTCTTTTTTACATTGTCGGACATAATAAATATAAATAAATGACTGAATAAAACAAAAAACTTCGTTGTCATTAGTAGGTAACATATCATCTTTCAAGTAATTTGAGTATTAATAAATTATTTATAAATAAAGAATTTTTTAGTTTAAAAGGTAAAAAAGTTTTTTTTTTTGCCCCATCATTCGATCATCAGATTATTTAATATCTGTTTCTAAGGATCAGAATTCCCTTTTATTTTACTTTAAAATTGTACAAATGATATATTTAATGCTTTCATGTGATATGCAGCAGTTTTAAATAGCACTTTAAAATATCTAAAAAAGGACAGAAA